TTCAAAGTCACTCAAATCACCTTTCTTCCCCATACTGATGCTCAGTTTGAACTGCAGGAGACTGTCTTGACCATGTCTACATGCCTAAATGCACTGAGTTGCCGCCATGTGATTGGCTGCTTAGAAATTAGGTGTTAACGAGCAGTTGGACAGGTGTACCTAATAAAGTGGCCGCTGAGTGTACATAATTGAGTTATTTATATTAGAGATTTGGCCCTTTAAATTTATGGGGGTCTTAAGTATAACATCCAACTTTGATAGCCTCAGGTAATTGAGGAAACGACGGGTTGTGCATTTTAATAAAGTGGCGGATCTGAAGATATCGGAAAAAACTGGATTTAGGAATAGAGTGTTTGTTGGCCAAACCTGTGAAAGTAGGAAAAGTTTTATCTATAAAAAAATCCCTGCATGTGGTAAGACCCCTAGTGTTCCATTGTGTAAATGTAGCATCAAGATTGGCAGCTGGAAAAAGGTGGTTATTAAATATAGGACTTAACATGGAAAGGTCAGGCAATTTAAATGCTTGCCTAAACTGTATCCAAATTCTTAATGTTGAACGCACTACCGGACTTGAGGAAAAACGTGATGGGGAGAAAAGGAGTCTTGTTAACAGTGCGGGAAGCGACGACTGACTACAGTTTTGCCTCCTCACTGCACCAACCCGTGTCTGGGGCCTGAAACCAGTAAGTTATTTTTTGCAGATTCGCTGCCCAATAATAAACCCTAAAATTTGGGAGAGCAAGCCCACCCCCTTTTCTTGGCCTTTCAAGCAATGTTCTACGAAGTCTTGAAGATTTGCCTCCCCATATAAAACTTGAGAGTAATACATCAATTGAACGGAAGAAGGAATTTGGTAGAAAAACTGGGATACTTTGAAACAAATATAAAAATCTAGGCAACACATTCATTTTGATGCAGTTGATTTTTTCAGCTAGAGAAAGATAAATTGCACTCCATCTCTGGAGATCAGAATTTAGTTTTTCCATAATGGGAATGTAGTTGGCTTTAAACAGTTCAGAAAAAGATGGGGTAATGTTGGTAAAGTGCGGTAAACTTATGCGGTAAAGTGAAAATTATATCTCTGCAAGTCATCTAGGAGTCTTCAGCGAAATCTTAGATAAATGACTATTTTAATAAAAACTCATTAAATAATCAATTTATGTAGATATTAGTACTTGTAAATATCAATGTTATGCAGAATGATTACTATGTAATGACAGTGGAAAAGATGTCCGCTCAAAACTCAAACCTGAAAGAGTTTTATCCACTATATTTTTTATCTAGAAAGCAGGGATTTATGAAAATATTTGTCTATTTGTTAGCAAAGACTGTGGGAAAATATAGTTTGTCTTTATTTAGAAAAAAAGGATGTTGTGCTCATTAATTTTGCTGTTGGAACGGTGTAGATTGACCCTGAGCTTTTGGTGCCTATCTACTTTTATATAAGATTGATTAGATGCTGATGCATCTGCTTGTTAGAATTACCTTTATTCAAAAGATTACCTCCATATATTCAAAGGTAATTGATGGTTAGCTGTTTGGGTGATCATATTTTTAACCAAATATTTGACTGCAGTAGGGATAGTCTTCATTACAGTATTATACTGAGTACACAAGCAGTTTTAGTTATACAATACGAAAAATTCCTCATACACCAGCCAACTTCCTGTCATTTAGAAAATGTCTTACAATAGAAAAGCCCATATTGTTTATTCCAGATTGGAGTTTGGTGGGGAAAAAAAATGTGTGAGCATATAAGTTTCCAACAAAATAACACCTGTATATGAATAAAAGCTTAAGTCACATCAAAAAACAAAATCTATGCATCTAATTTCATAAACAAACCTTAGGGGAGATTTGTAGAAAGCTGAGAGTTTAGGCAATTCTTTCAAGGAAGAATTCAAGTTTATTTTTACACCTGCGGACGAGAGAAAAAGCTCTGACTGGGGTGGCTTTTTACTCTTACACATATGCAAAGACTCCCAACACACACACACTCCAAGGGAAACCATCCCCCCCCCCCATCAAGGACATTTTCTGTTAGGGTAATATATCTTTTACTGGTCAGATGGTGCATCTCCCAACAGCCGAGTTCCTGTTCATGCCATGGGGGAGGCTGAATGAACTCATTCTTATCTCATGACCTTCGTTTGGAGCCTGTGACTGAAAACAGACAGACCTCAACATTCTTACTCCACAGTATATTCTAATTACATTTGTTAAAGAAAATCTGCCAGTTTATTTAACAATGTCAATAGCTTGTAAAACACCATCCTAAAAATCTTCAACCATGTTTTCTTTCTTCAAGTAGTGGACGTTTATACACCTTAATTTAATATGTTGTTCATTTGTTTTATGGGAAAATGAGGAGTGCAGACCAGGCTGATGTGCTCTACCTTCTTAGTTCTAGTTAGAACACAGGCAGCTTTTTAGGCAAACCTATGAAGATGCTGTTGCACTAATCAATCCTACTAAAGATTAATGCATGGATTTGTTTTTCTAGATCCTGTTTGGACATTAGTCCTTTAATCCTGGAATTGTTCTCAGGGAGATAAAAGGCTGCCTTTATGTTCCTCTGAAGGAACATAGAGGCAGTTACTAAGTCAACCAGTTACTTTTCCAATATCATACTTTTTACTTTTATTTGAGTGAAGATATGATGAGGTATGGCGACCCATCATGAATAACTCACTGAAGAATAGGTTTGTTTTAAACTAACAAAAAAATGCACCAGAGAGACAAAAACCTGCAGTTAATTTCTAAGTGAGACTCCAGATTTGTACTCCAGCTTCTGTTTTAATGTCATTTTCTATTGGCTGATCCTGCTGTGTTGTTTGGAGGTCAAGTGGAAATACAACAAACAGTTTACTATTATAAGTTACAGGAAGTAACTCACCATATTCTCACCTACATCCATACCCAGTGGTGTCAAAATACACACATTTGTTACTTAAGTAGAAGTATAGATACCGCAATTTAAAAACACTCTGGTAAAAGTTGAAGTATCAACCTGACCTCTTTACTCAAGTAAAAGTGAAAAAGTTTGTGCTCCAGAAACTATTTAAAGTATAAAAGTATAAAGTAACCTTTAAAAATAACAGCCAGATGCCACTTTATGAATTAAAAGCTCAATTTTTCGACTATTTAGAAAAATGTTTGAGATAGGGCCAAGGATGAGGGAGGTCTTGTTGGTCTCCATCTCCCGATGTGCTCTCTCCTGTGTCCGAACTTTCAGACAATTCACGTTTGCAGTTTGAAGAACACCTGCTTGCTTCTGATGATTTCCTTTAGCTAACCAATGAGTGTTTGCGTTATATGACTCATCCAATTACACTAGTTTCCACTAGATGTGGATGGCACCAATGATCTGCATTGGATGGAGCACATGACGTGAAATAAATATTTATAAACATTAAACTGAAGCCAAGAGTAACGAGTAACATTTGTTTTAAAAATTTAAGGAATAGAAAGTACAGATACTGTGAAAATGTCATGAGTAGAAGTCAAAAGAAGAAAGAAAAATATGTAATGGAGTAAAGTATAGATACCTAAAAAGTGTACTTAAGTACAGTAACAAAGTATTTGTACTTTGTTACTTGACACCTCTGTCCATAACATACTAACAATAATGACGTCAGAGATTTTATAGCAAAAATCATCTTTTGCTTCTTTCACCTGTATAAATACTGAGTGTCTTTTTATTTCATTTTCTAATTTACATTGTTTTTAAAACATTAAATCAGATGTTATGACATGACTCTGTACCTGAGTAGCCTTTTCCCTATTTTTTATGATTCTGTAGTAATTTATTCGATGGCTACTCTTTACTTTTACTTAAATGAAATTATGATAAAGTAGTGCTATTGTTATTTGAGTAGCTACAGGTTTTTTTTTTTTTTTTTTGCCTTTTGACTAGTCAGAATGTCAATTCAAGATATCTTTAATTTTGTTTTGTCTAGTCATTATTTGCTTTTAAGATATCTATAATTGATCAGCACCCCTCGCGACCTCATTCGTGATAAGCATGTCAGATAATGGATGGATGGATGGATATCTATAATTGAGTTTTCACTAGTCAAAACTGCATTACTATGGCAAGCCGTTTTAACATAAATTCGGCTGCTCCACCTTTACATTCAAGATATCTCAAATTGTTTTATGACTAGACGTTTTAGCGATTTTAGATATCTTTAAATATAAATTCGGTTGTAACGCCTTTACGTTCAAGATATCTCAAATTGTTTTATGACTAGACGTTTTAGCGATTTAAGATATCTCTGATTATATTTTGACTAGTCAAAATACCTATTCGACTAGTCGAAATTACGTCAGATTTACCATTAACTTGCATGGAGACGTCAATTTTAGATATCTAGAATTAATTACTGACTATCTGAAATACACATTTCAGATATCTACATTTATATTACGACTAGTCATAAATTGATTTCAAGGTATTCGATTTTAGTTTTGACTAGTCATAATTCTAATTAAAGATATCTCAAATGCCACCATAATTCAAGATATCTTAAATGTATTTTAGGACAGGAGATATGCTACGGCATGCCTTTTTGCCATATGCCATACTGTTAAAACGGCTTGCCATAGCGCGCAGCATTTTGTTGCTAAACTCCACCGGAAGCTGGTTGGTGCGTCATTTTTAACGTTACTTCCCGTTCCTCCAGTCTCCCGTACAGGCGCTGTTTTCCAGCCGCTGCTGTGGAGCAGGTAGGTTTACCAGCTGCGTTGTAGAAATGGGTGAAGGAATGTGTTGGTTGGAAAGATAAGAACCTCATCAAGCCGAAGACAGGACATGTGGACGGGTTAACCGAAACAAAGCTACCGCCGCTTGGCTAAGACTGAGAATTCCTTTAGCTAATGTTTGTTTTCTGCTGTTAATGATGTGATTTATGCTGCCTTTTTAACACCTGAAGTTTACTTAACTTGTTCACATGGATCAATATTTAAAGGAGAATAATTAAAACTGAGATTTGAGGGGAAAAGTGCCCCATAAGTGAAGATGTTTGTTAAAATGTTTTCTCTTTTTATGTCCGAGCCGTTTCTTTTCTCACCAACACTCGTTACTGTGAGAGTTGTTTGTCTACATTCCAGTTTGTTTATTTTTGATACAGAGACGCACAAATTTAGACAGCAAAATGGATGTTTGTTGGATTTTGAAAAATGTTTTAGAATAAGGTTTTGACGAAATGGAATCAAAGTAATCTAGGATAATTCTTAAGTTTTTAGTTGTTGTTTTTAAACCACGGCGCCATCTAGCGTTCACATGTAAAATGTCTCATCAGATGTTTATATTGTCATAGTTTTTTATTTGCTACTTGCCTTGATATTTCCTCACTAATGTTCTTTATTCCTCTTTGACCTTCAGAGAACAGCTGGATATCTACTGTGATTGAATTGCCTGGATCAATTGATTCTTATAAAGGCTAATTTATATTTTTAGTTAAACTGGATCAATATTTGAATTCAAATAAGCATTTTATGTTGAATTGGCTGCAAAAAGTAATGCCTGCTAAGAAGGATGTTATGTGTGGACTCTTCTTTTATTACTTCCCTTCAGTTTCTGCATACAGGAGGCGTTTATCCTAGACTTCCACGATGGATCCAGGTAGGGTTCTGAAATTTTTTTTTTAACATCTGCAGCGTTATAATGCATGGTTATCCTGTTTTTGTTTTGTGTTTTTGTCACTGCTAAATGTTCTAAAAGTTAATGAAAGGTCATATACAGAAAGAAATAAACCAATTTAATATAAAAAATGTTTTCAAATGACGATTTCATTTTTTAAGACAGTAAAGTCATACAGGCTAACCCAGGGGTCAGCAACCCAAACTGCTCAAAGAGCCATATTGGACCAAAAAAACAAAAAATAAATCTGTTTAGAGCCGCAAAAATGTAAAAGTCTTATACATGCCTCGTACGGAAACACGGGCTCTAAGTGTATTATCCTACTATAGAAAATGACTATGTGGGGCTCCTCAAGCAAATGTCACATAGCAGCATGAGGTGAGTGAATGCTCCCATCACGCGCTGCTTCACCGCACGCCGCTTAACCGCACGCCGCTTAACCGCCCTTCACCGCACGGTTTTAGTTTTGTTGCATTGATGAAATTATAGAAAAATATAGAAACAGGATCAGGAATCTCTCTATGGTGGACGTGTTTCTGTTTGGAGGAGTTGATTGAGTCATGAGGAACCAAGCAGGAACTGACATCATCAGAGCAGAGCTCTCTAACCCTGAAATCCCCCATCCCAGCGTTCCTTGGTGTGTTTCATATTTTTAGGATTTGGGGAAAAAATGGAAGAAAGTTCCAATTCCTGCATCAGAGCTCTACCTGTTTGATCTGTGGACGGTTTTCCATCCTTGCAACAAAACTAATAGCAGTAGTGGAGTTTGGAGATGTAATCCACTTCTTTAATCTAAATTTGCTCTCCTCTACTTTATCCAGAAGTTCTGCAATCGCCATTTTTCTCTCCCTCCCAGCTTGGTTGTTGGCTGCATATTTAGCTTGCCTTCCCTGGAAATGCCTTTCCAAATTTTTATTTTTATTTTTTGCCAACCTCTCATTACCAAGCAAAAATGCAGGCAATCGTTCCGCATTGATAATATATAAAAAGCATATTTTTGAGCCAATGAAAACGTGATCTTTGCTATTAAAATGAGACCAGTAATTTGAATCATGTAAGAGTGAGAAAAAAACAGACGGGAAATCTTTTATATAATGCATATGATTTCTTCCATAAAACCTTTTTTTAAAGAATGATTTTCTGTGATGCTTTCTCGTGTGTAGATGTTTTAGGGAAAAGCCAGCTGCTGGATTCTCTGAAGGCCTATCTGAACAACAAAACCAGATTACAACCCATCATTGGTCTGTAGCAACCGATCATAGTTTGCCTAAAAGTGGCTTTTATTTGCATTTTGTTCGTTAACCCTATGGTTTTGTACCCATTTAGGCCTGGGCACCATCATAGAGTGTGTGAACGTGAGTTCACAACTCAGACAGACCCTGTACCTGTGTGAGGTGTGCGACTGCAGACTCACCAAAGCTGATATGCGAAACCATATAATGGGGAGTCATCACAGGTTCAACTACATCGTAAGGGCTGCTGATGGAAAGTCGTGGTTCCGTGTTTCCTATCCGCTCTGAGTTGTTCTAATGTGGGACGTTATGCTTGGCAGAAAACCCATCACCCTTACATGGTGTCTAAATGGCTGGAGAGCCCTGACCTGTCTAAGATGGCCTGGCCTCTCATGGAGTTGGCTAAGGTGCTGGAGAAAAAAGAAGGACCAGGACTCGTCCAAGTAGGCTATTTTCCACTTATTCAACTTTCACACGTGTATCTATGTCTGTTTTTAATGCGTTTGTATCTCTTATGAATGTTTATATAAAGTTGTTTGAAGTTAAGGATGATCATTACCAGATGATGGCAACGCAGAGTGAAAATCACGGTAAGCTTTTGTTTTCTTTATTTACCCCCTTGTTTTGTTCTTGTATGCATATTTTATTGTTATTCTGATGTCATTCTGTCTGTCCAACACCACAGCAGTTACTCTGGCGAAGGCCTTAAGAAAACAGCAGGAGTTGGAGAGCTTTTCAAAGACGGCCCCTCTGCATTATCCCGTTGTCTCCCAGAGGACTGTTTTGCCTGCACGCAACCAACCAAAAGATCCAGAGTCCCGTGACAGGACCTGCTTTAAAAACATCTCCCCACCACAGCTGGAAGAGGTCCAGATGTTGGGAGACGCCTCTGTAGAACCGGAGAGAGCCACAGACTTTCTAGACGATGGCGCTGAAACAAAGCCTCTCATTGGTAAGCTCTTAATTATTCTCCTCTTTGGAAGTAAAATTTTCCAAATATTAAATCAGTGTGAGCAAGATTATTGCATAATTACTTCCCTTACTTCATTTATTATTCAAACATCACATTAATGCATTGATTTGGCCACTTGTTGTTTCCCAACGCCAAAGGGAGTAGATGTTCTCTTTTTCCAAGTTTTTGTTTAGTCTCAGTCGAAGGAGGTATTTTTCCCCTTGTTTAATATTGACTTTATCTAAAATGTTAAACTAACTGATTAGGAAATGACTCCCGCCCATGTTTTATCTCCAGGTCTTGCCCGTGTGGTTGAGTTTAGAAGTGAAGACGGCTGCTCATATTGTTTTTTATGCCACTGCTGTCGCATAAGATCCACCAAACAGGACATCACTGATCACCTAACCAGCTCATCCCATCTAGTTAACTACCTGGTGAGTTTGTTTTAGACTTGCACCCAGCATCATAACACGTCTAACTATAGCTCCGCTTGGCATACTAAAAGTCTCATTGTTATAGATGGAGATTTATCCAGATTACATGGAAGCTTTGGGTGAAGTTACTGAGGATAACTTCCAGCTTCAGTCACTGGCTGCTAAAGTGGAGGAAGAGGAGGGCAGAGGGGAGATGAAGGTATTTTATCGCCACATAGAGCATGGGTTGGTTTAAACATTTAAGAAATAAATATATCCTAAAATAGGATTAGATTTAAACAAGAGTTCTGAGAGTGAAATACAGTAACACTTAAACAAGTATTATAAAGTTAACCAGCTTATTTTCATATAAAATATTGATGTTTTTGTGAGTGGTTAGAGACCTTGATATCGTTCTTCTTTCAGACGTTTATTTTTTGCGATGAATTTGTTACATAATGGTAAAAGTAAATTGGAGTAAATCAGCTTAAATGAACAAAGATGAAGTTGTCTTTCAAATTAGGTAAGCTTTTGTAAAAATAAATAATTAAATTATAGTTCTAGTTGAATAGCTTTTAACTTTTTAGCATGATGGTTTGGTCCAGTTCTAGAGCATCTAATACCCAACCATATTTAATGGAACAGGAACATTTCACTGACTAACTGGAGAGAGGGTCATCACCCCTACTGTTGAGCTGAAATAACAAGGGAAATCGCCCCCCAATCAATTATTTATCAATGGATATATCCAGAGAGAGACTGCAAAGAAACCTATCTTCTTCAGGAACTGTCTAAAGACACTACAGTTACTTCATCTTTTTCATAGAAACACTTTGGCAGTAAACACCTTAACAAAGCCGGATCGTCCCTTGAAGAATCATGGCACCACAAGGGAGTTTATTACTCTTTGCTTCTGCAGCTCAAACCGGTAATTGCTAGATTAGTGCACCCAAGTATCTTTAAGTCGCTCAAACCTGTATCAGTGCTGTGCAGTTCTCAACAAAACTCCTATAGTTCTCTCATTCTCCTTCACATTGACATTTCATGCGATACCTTCCAAAACAGTTATTACATATTCTGGATTCATCATCAAAAGCCAATACAATACAATAATAATTATTGCATTTATTTTCCCATATTATTACATTTTTCAAACAAAATTTGTTTTTGTTGGAGTTCAAATCTTAACCATTGACTAAATATTTTACAACTATAGATAACAGACCTGAGCTGAGAGCTGTTCTAAGTTAAATATGTTCCTAAAGGTGGACGCTAATATCTGTTCAGTTTTTTTTTCTTGTGCAGGTTTATGTGTGTTTATATAATTTGCTGTTAAAGATCAGAAAATGGCCATTTGCAATATACTGAGGGTGTGATGGCACTCGTCCTAAATATCTCATGTTCCCAGATAGTAAATGTACCAGAGTCCATCTGTAGTCAACTCACTGGCAAAAGTTACCACTGGTGTAAGTAGAGCTGACTTTCCTTCCTTTGCTGAACCTCTAACCTTCCATCTCTAATGTTCCAACTCTGCTCTTAAAGTCTGACTTCGTCTCCGGACTCCACGGTGTGAATATGGGGTCAGTTAACCTTTTAAATCCCTACTATGCCGCATGTTTTCTACATCCACAGGGATGCACAGACCAGCCTCATAGCATGGCTTACGGTACGAGAAGGGATTTTTTAGATTACTATGATGTTTTTATGCAGACGTCCTTTATTGAAAATTAGGAATCCAGTGCTTCATTTTTAGTTTAGCCTTTTTTCCTTTTCTTTTTAAACTAAACTGATAAATATGCAGTGCTTTGCAAAAGTATTCCAACTACTTGAACTCCTAGTCAAGCTATCCATGTAATTTAGTTCCTAATTTTGAAATGGAAGAAACGTGAAGCAGAAATGGAAAATAAAAAAAGTTTTTTTTTCCCCGACCCCGAACACTAAAGTTCAGTCAGTCGGAATTGAATTCTAGTTATATTCTATAGTTATTTATTTATGTCATGTGAGGCAGTGTGCAGCCCTTGGTGGCTGTGCGTATTATCATAGCAACTAATCCAGCAATTATCCAGGTCTCTTTGTTTATTCTGCATCTGCATTATTATTAGACAAAAGCCTCAGCGCTGATCTCTGTGACCATTTCTTTGCCTTATTTCAGTTAAAGTGTTAAAATCGGGTTTTGCTTTAGAGTTTCTCCATTAGAGGATTTTTTAATTTCTCTGTTTGATTGCTTCTGGGAGAAGCTCCTGACTACCAACAGCATTTTGTTCATCTTTTTTTGTATAATCCAGTGGTTTTGTTCGAGATTCACGGTGAACCGTTTGCTGATCCAAAAGGTAAAAAAACAGCAGAAACATCTGTTAGGATTGCAAGTGTGAACACAACCATCGACAGGACAACTGTTAGTCATCCACTATTGATCGGTCATTGAATATTTTATCTTTTATTGTATTTAATTTAGGGCTGAAACAATTAATTGGATTAATCATGATTAATCAATTATAGAAATAATCATTAACTAATTTAGTCATTGATTAATCATTAACTGGGGTGTAGAGACTCTAAATCAGGTCTTCAGCTGATAGAAAGAACCACTTAGAGCAGCAATTATACCATAATTGTAATAAAAAAAAAATATGTCTTTCCGATTATTAATCAGAAAAATAATCGTCAGATACATTTTTTGCAAAATAATCGTTAGTTGCAGCCATATTTTAATTTTATTTAGGTTTTATTTTATTTAGGTAATAGGATTTGCAAATGATTGCCTCTTGTTTTTATGTTTTATTCTAAATCTATTTTCTATGGAATTTGGGTTTTGTTTTCTCTTTAGTTAATTATTTAGATATAATATATGATTTTCTTCAACTTTCCAATTATGTATGTGGAGGTTGGGAAAAGTCCAAGCAGTGTGAATACTTTTGCAAGGCGCTTTATTACCCAGCTTATCCAAATCCAGTGAAGTCTGATTAACTTCCTCTCTGCAAAGTGCAGTTAGTGCGTTTTATATTTTGGTTTTATTTTACTGAAATATTTTAGGATGTGGCATTTGTCTACATTATATTTGAGGTGTGCGTCACGACTGCTCATTTCTGCACAAACATCAGTGATAGTCGCTGCTCTGCACACACCTCAGCAGAATATCGCTGAGGTGTTGCATCCTCAGCAACATGATGATTTCTGGATCTTATCGATATCGATAAGGTCACAGTATCCAGACTTTTTATTTCTCAGTATACTACCTTATGAATAAATTTGACTTTCTTTTTCAGCCTGTTTGTATTTTCTCCCCTTCTACTAACTTTAGCAGTCTTTCTTTTTAAAAGTACTTGTTTTTGCATTTTGTCTGTATATCCTTGGCATTTTGCTCATTTTCAAGGTTTAAAGATGCTTTCGAGTGGAGGGAAATATTCTAACCTTCGGCAAAAAAGAGAAGCTGTCAGAGGCGAGTATTGTTTTTCCTCATCTTTTAAAAGGAAAAACAGATCTCCCCTCAGTTAATCTAACCTGTACATGTTTCAGGTGTGAATCAGATAACAGCTCCACCTGCGGGAAAGAAAATCCCAGTGATCTCAAAACGAAGAGAAAAAAGAAAAAAAAAACAAATGAAGAACAACCAAGGGAAAAAGACTGATACCATGTTTAACGTGAGCCTGCCTGTTGGTAAAGGTGAACTGCTGCTGGAGAGAAGATCTTTTAGCAAATTTCGTCGGTTTGAGTCACCTGAATCACTTCCATCTAAACTGGACCCAGTTAAATCCCCCTCTGGGATGGTAGAAACCAGCTCTCTAGCAGATGACCCTGTAGATCCTACTAATGCTGACCCAGAGCTGCCAAGCTCTCGCGTAGAGCGGCATCTTTACACAGAAGATGCAGGAACTATGGAACATAATACAGACACACAAATCAAAGTCACGGTTTTCCAGGATGGGGATGGCTACTTTGAAGAGCACCAGTCTGAACACAATAAACCAGTCGGACCTCAGGAATGCCTGAGTGCAGACTGGAACCCGGAAGCTCCACAGGCCCAGAGTGGGGAACTATTTTCTTCAATACCCCACCATTATAACTCCAACTACATGAATGGAAACTGTAGCTCTGATTTCTGGTACAGTTCAGCGTCCGCTGGAGAAAACGAGGAAGCATCAAGACAAGGGAGAGGAAGAATGGATGTTAACTCGAGCTCAGTTCAACAGCAGCCTCAATATCAGCAGCCATCATGGAGCAACACGCTTCCTTACACAAAGGGTATTTGGGAGCATCAAGTTGTTTCCTATTTGAACACTGTCAGGATAAACACACAAAGTGACTCTGGACATATCCCTGTATGTGGAGGTGGCTTTTCAGAAGGATCTAGAGGACATGAGTATGAGACTCAGCAGAGATACTCTGAACTCTCTGCTGACCATTACCAACCGGTTCCTCATTCTTACACCACTCCGCCTTCAGCATTTGAAGTCAGCCCAATGCAGCAGAGGCTGATGTTTCATACCAACAGTGGTGCTTTACCTTCGACTCAGCCATACCTTTCCTACCCAGTCACACATGGACGTGGTTGGGGATGGACTCAGGCTGATGCCGTTATTCAGCCAGACCAAACTGGCTTTTACAATGCCAGCTCTGATGTTTATTTCAGAGCTGGCGTCTAAATGCAATAGATCCAAACTTCAGGACTCAACGCTCCAGCCTTTTTTTTAGGTGTTTAAATGATGGAATAGCTTCTATATTTTTTAAGTACCCCATTATTTGTACAAACCGGGAGTCTTCTGAAGTAAATATTATTTGGTTGTTGATTAACTTGGAGATGAAGCGACAAAAGGCCGTATTGAGAAAGACATGATTGTATTCTGATTTATTTCAAAGCTGCTATTGCTGCTTATGTTCAGTTAAATTTAAAACTACTTCATCAGTGCCAAAGAGAAACTGATTTCTTGTGATGGTCTGTGTTAAAGTGGCACTAAAGACAACCTGCTGTTATATTAAAGTATTACTGAAGGTTAAACATTATGTTTTAACTTTGATGAAATGTTCATTGTATTTGAAATGTTCTTCTTTGTATTTTCTGCTTGGTGCGTACAGTCGGTGTGTAAAGCTGCAGCACGCTGTGCCTGTGCTCCACTGACCCAGTACTGTGCCTTTCAGAGTAACAACTTGTCACAACCTCCACCTGCAGCTAACTGCTATCAGATATTTTTGGGCAAAGCAGATCTACTGATGCACATGATGTGATCTGAGTATACATCTTCTGCAAAAGCTTAAATAAAAACTCGATTGTATCTTCTCATCAAGACGCCTTCAGCATCTTTTCATCATTTTATCTTGATATAATCATATAAAAAAAGAAGGTACAGATTTGATTAAAAACTTTGTCATGATCCCCTTGTTTTTTTAACAAATCAACAGTGACCTAACAAAGAGTTATAATAGGAGGAGAAGGGAGGGTATCTGTTAACATAGCAGTGGGGTATTAGTTACTTAATTTCTTCCAAACAGCAATTTGCAGTCTCAAGGAATAAGTGACACAAAAATTCCTTCATAATCCCTTTTTGTTTGACATTTTTAAGACTTTTCAACCGTTTTTTGCCTTGCAAGCAACAGTCGAGGTAAATATCTTCCTTTTGCACAACTTTCTCAGTAGATGAGCTCGTATGCATTATATCTTATCAAAGTCATGCATAATTTTTTAGGTCCAACAACAGTGCCATTCCAACACAAACAGGACTGATTGGCCTTAATCTTGCCACTCTCCAGCTCTGTTGAGGAGTCCAGCTGATTGTTTTTGATGTGTGGTCTAACATGGTACCGTTTTCCAGTCAAATTCTGCCCATTGTCTAAAACAGGTAGAACTATGTTAAAATCAACGCCTATCCTTAGACAATTCCAGCTGTGATTTGGTTTCCCACTTTCTTCTGATGTAAAGTGATCTTTCCATTACAGCTTTTCATGCATTTCTACAATCTAGAGACAATTTGAAGAGGATACTTTTCTGTATGCCCCAAGATTATTTCTATAAACTCCTTCCTTCTTTTGAAAGATGGGGTCAGATATCTGAATTACAAAAGTATCTTAATTGAAAGTACCTGTACTATCTGAATTTAATTAACCAAATTCTCTGTTTAATTTGCAAATTATATAAACTCTGTTCCTTTGATTAGCACACACTACGCTGTAATTCCCTCATCAATCCACTTTTAATAATTGCTGCCCAGGTGATGACATCTAAATTTAGGGCAGTAAAAAGCCATGATCCCAGTTTTAAAAATATACATTTCCACTGATACATATTTTAGATAAGTCAGTTAATTATTCTTCTCTGAATGAAATTACATTTATTCATTGAGGATGTTTAAAAGTAGCAGGCATACTCTTATAAAAATGTTAAAAAAATAAGTAGACAACCATTAGAGACAATAAAGTCAATTGAAACTATGATATGGTAAAGTATTAAAATAAATAGAGGACAAGAGTACAGAAAGTACAGTAGAGTGGGGATTAACACTGGAGAAAAGTAAATTGAATTTATGTTAACAGGGTTTTTGCAGTTTAGGCTGATAAACATCTGTGCCTAGACTATCCCACAGAAACACCTTTTTAATTGAATATTTTTAGAAGTAAAAATGTAAAAACCTTTGTGGTATGATGTAAACCAATGGAGCTCCCCGAGTCTCACTTTTGAATAAACTGCAATAGATTTTAAAATTGTTCAGAAATTTTTTGAAAGATAATTTAATTAAATCCATAAGGATCAAAAGTTGTTGCAGCATATCGATGGTCCTGGCACTTGCAACTGACTTTATTGGTTTCCCTAGGCCTTTGTTGAGCTCAAAGGTTTTCATTTAATCATTTATACAACATTACTAGGTAGATAACCTGACCGCAAAGATGCGTCTGCTCTAACCAGAAAAAAAGAATCTTTACTTTATCTACAATGTGTCACCCCCACATTTTCTCAGTGAACGTCTGGGAATCTTCAGCTTGGCTTGGGTGAGCAACAGATAAAGAGACTTGGCCTTGAAGCTTGTGAGAAATTTCTCGTAATCTGTATGTGGTAACACCTGGCATCTCTGAATCCTCACTATAGTCTGGGAAAGTGACATACTCAAATAACAGGAGGGAAATAGGAAAGTGAACACACACCAGTTGACAGGCCAGAAAAATAATAGAAAAAGGAACATGAGCGATATCAAGTGCCATGTTAAAAACTAGAAATGGGTGTTTTTATAAATGCCTTCTGCACCTTTGTTATGTGTTGATCCATGTGCCTACTTATCTTCGCCACTCGATGTCTGAATAGAGCTTCCATGTTGTGGAGAGACAGGTTATTGGCTGATAGTTGGTTGAGAATGTCCCTTTCTAGGGGTCTATAATTATTATGACTGTTTGGCCCTCTGTCAGCTGTTGAGGGGGTGGGGGTTCCCATTCTTCAGGTGTTGGGTCATTTGTGCCGCTTGGCATTCATGTAGAGAAGTGAGCTTCTTCAGCTAGTAGGTGTGGCTCATCTGGACCCAGTGCTGTCCAGTTCTTCACCCCTGACAGTGTTTGATGGAGGTCTGCCATTATGATGTTCACTGGACCTTGTTAAAGGAGGTTAGCATGCGCAGCTCTTAGGTCTTTAAGTCACTGCATCTCTGTTACACTGCAAAAAACTGAAATCTAAATAAGTCATTTTTTCTTATATTAGGTGCTTTTTTCTTGAATTGAGAAGGTAAGGGAGACACATTGCCAATGAAACAACAATTTACATTTAAAATAAGGAAAAACAATTGCATTGTCTTATTTCAAGTGCATGTTATCTAATTATCTTATTTTAAGAGTGAAAATACTCATTCCATTGGCAGATCATCTTATTTACCTACGGTACTCAAATTATTGGTAAATACACTTAATTTAAGACATTTTTGCTCATTTCTAGATCGTTTTTGCAGTGTATGTATTATGTACTCTATTGTTCATTTTCCAGCCTTGGCAGGTTGTTTCATGTGTTATCACTAGTGATTGGTCCAGCATCACCGATGCCTTGGTGCATGAGTCGAACCAATAGAGCAAAACACTATCGATGCACGTGTCGTTTGAAGAAATTAATGAGACAGATGCAGGAGTTGTTTCTGACTGACTCACTAAACTGTGTTTAAAAGTGTATCTGTCAACATGATGCATCTGCTAAAAAGATGTCTCATCTTTTGCTCTTTATCATTAAAATTAGGAAGGATTTTGAAGCAGCCTAAAAGTAATAGAAACATAATCTCAACATGAAGCCAGTAGGAACCGTTGCTTTTTGAGTTTAATTTTCTCATTGTGTCATACTTTTCCTCTCAGTTATCACATCGCCAAATTGATTCAAAGTTTTCTATCTAGAGAAAACCAGTTGATTGCATCGACTCATTGACTCGAATGCAATCTCTTACACTAAACATGCTTGTAGCGACAGTGGAGAGGAAAAACTCCCTTTAAACAGGAAGAAACCTCCATCAGAACCAGGATCAGTGTGACCGGCCATCTGCTGAGGCCAACTGGGGTTCAAGGAGACAGAAGCAGATATACAAAAAAAGCAGCTGTAAAAGGCGGACCCGTCCAGGAAACACACAGCCAGACAGACGAGCTCTGCGCCGGTTCCCATGTCAGAAGATGAAGAGAGCACATCCAGCCAGTCACAGTCAGAAAAACAGGACTACACTGGAAAACAGGCCGATCTCCAACATCTATGAACAAGGGCGTTGATGGCAGCAGCACAGCTGATATTTCTCTCCAGGATGGTGTCACAGCCAAATGGGACGAGGCAAAGCTTCTATGAGAGAAATCAGAGAGAGCATAATGTTAGAGATTCTGCAGAGTGGGAGAATAGAGATAGAATGAAGCAGAATGATGAAATGGGGGTACCTATGTCCTCCAGGAGTCTACGCCTATAGCAGCATAACTATAGAGATAGCTGAGGATAACCTGAGCCACTTTATCAAAAAGGAAAGTTTTAAGCCTACCCTTAAAAGTAGACAGGGTGTCTGCCTCACGGACTAAAACTGGTAGTTGGTTCCACAGGAGAGG